TCTATATATGTCATGTATTTTTTATATATTGACCATGTATATGACCACTTAGGATTGTATTGGGGCAACTAATGGTACCCATATAAGTGTGTGGGTTCCTTTACACCAACAAATCCCATATAGTGGGAGGAAGTCGCATTGCACTACAAATGTGTTGGTTGTATGCTCGTTAACATAAAATTTACTTTCGTTTATGTGGGATGAGAATAGACCTGGCAAAAAGTTGACCCAACCCACGAACCCGACCCAACCCAACCCGAAAAAATAGGGTTAGGGTCTCATATTTAGCTACCCGAATGTGAAAATGACCCGACCCAAAAAAACTAGGTTGGGTTGGGTTGGGTCATGGGTTAACCCRCTGACCCGATTGTCAAGTCTAATTTGGACTATTTATGCATTGTTAGAAGTTTCCACTCTTTAGTTTTTTTTTTATTTAGTCTTTACTTTTTATGGTTTACTCTTTAAATTGTTAAATGTTCAAGTTTTTTATTTTATATTTGGAATTTTAAGGTTAATTCTTTTAATTTTGACTTTTTTCATGTAATTTTTCTTTATTTTTTTAAATTTCAATTATTTTTTGGGATGACCCGAATTGACCCATGGGTCAACCCTAACCCGAACATTTTGGGTTAGGGTCTAGCATTTGACAACCCAACCCGAAATTCAACCCGACCCGTAATCAACTCGAAGTACCTTGACCAAACCCGAATCCAACCCACCCAACCCAATTGCCAAGTCTAGTTGGGAAGGATCTGCTCATGACTCTAGGGTATTTGCAAAACCTATTTCTCGACCACATTCAGAATTCCCACATCCTCTCGCAGGTAATTTATTTCAACATTTTTAGTTAGTACAAGCCTATTTACCTATGTCTAATGCATTCGATTGCATATGGCTTTTGTAGGGAAATATTATTTTGTAGATTCTGGATTTTCATGTGGGTCTGGATATTTAACACCTTATTCTGGTGAACGATACCATTTAAATGACTTTAGAGGGTAAAGAAAAAGATTTCAGTGAAAGAAGGAATTATTTAATTATAGGCACTCATCACTAAGAAATGTTATAGAGAGGTGCTTTGGGATATTGAAAGGAAAATTTCCTATCCTACAAAATATGTCATCTTTCAACTTACGAATGCAAAGATACATTTTAATGGAATGTTTCATCACCTACGATTTTATTAAGCAAGAAGCAATTCACGATAAAGACATCGATCGATGGGCAATGGAAAATATGACTATTGAAGATTCAAACGAAGCCAAYGAGAGTGATTTTGATGAAGAGAATGAACAAGCAAATATACAAACAACTAATATTAGGGACAGTATAGAAGATATGATGTGGGCACAACATGAAATTGAATCATTTCAATTTTAGTTTTAATTTGAATTTTAAACATGGTTAACATATTGGATATGTTTGAAACATTTTGAACTTATTTGTGGTACATTGGATTTGTTTTCTTTGTTTGTGTGAAATAATACTATCTCATTATTATATTTGTATTGATAAATTGATGTAGTGATGGTCGGACATATACGCACACCATTGTGCTCGTGTGGCAAGGGACCAATAGAAGTATTCATGGAAAAAACCAATGCCAATTATGGACGGTGGTTCTTCCGTTGCCCAAATTTGGAGAATCACCCAAATTCATTTTAGTGGGTAGGTGAATTAATTGAATATGATGCTCAAGTAGCCCCACGTAGAGATTATATGACCCATCATCAACATGTAAGACTTCATGCAGTACGAAGGTAATACCGAATTTCACAAGTCGAATATTATGTTGCTTGCATGTTGTGGGTGCAACATACTTTGCACTATTCTTCTTTTTTTTCTTATAATTGTTGTTCTATTATTTTTGTTTAAGTACTAATTGTAATATTGGTGGTTTATCCATACACCATTCCAGGAAACCAGTTGACCAATATTTTGATGTTATGTTTGCATTACAATTAGTATGGGAACCAATGGATTATTAGTTTACCTGAATAGTTTGATGTTATGCTTAACTTGCAATAATTTGTTATTTACTTTGTTTAAATATTAATTTTTATTTTTAAATTAATTTATTACAATTTTTCTTGAAATTAATATTTTTAGTTAATATTCAATGGTTGAAGCCTTTTTTTCAATTTTTATGCATCATATATATTATAAAAATTGGACATTTATGATCGATTGTATAGATTACTTCATAAATTGTATATGAGACACATAGAATCAAAAAGTATGGTGTGGACCAATCCACACCACGCTTACAAAACGCCACTATAGGTGTGGACCGGTCCAGTCCACACAGTTTGTCCACAGTTGATTGGTCCTTGCCACAGGGTGTGGTGTGGACCGGTCCACACCACCCAATTTCTCGTCCATACTATAGAACACCCCCTTTAGTCTTCTCCGATTGTAGGCAATTTTCCCACATTCACCCAATTTGCTTGGGTGTTTTTCCTTCCAGTGAAGTAAGGCCTCAGAGAAATCATTCCTCCACTTTTTTTGTCTACCCTTGATACCCATTCGAAGGTGTCAAGGAGAATAAAACATGACAATAACACTGAAACACAAACATGAGAATTGGTAGGGAATAAACTAACACAAGAATGAGAAGAGAATCGGAAAAACTTCCCTTGAGAAGACTACCCCTGAAATGCAATAACATGCTGGTGATCTTCCCTTGAGAAGACTCATGCTGAAATTTCAATTCTCCGGCTTGGTGTCTACGTTCTTACCCATAGGGGTGGATTTAAACCGAGCCGAATAGTACGAGGCTCGAGCTTGGCTCACCAAGGTAATACAAGGCTGGAGTCAGAAACTCGTAAGCTCGAGCTCAATTTGAGAAAAAAATGTTTTATAAAAATAAAATATTTTTTATTTAATATTTAAAAAATTAAGAATTATAATAATTAATTATTATTATATATGTAATATTAAGAATTATAATATTTTTATTATATATATTATTTCTATTATTATTATTATTATAACAATTCAAGAGCTTTATTAATATAAACGGGCCGGACCGAGTTTTTCACAAGCCGAGCTCTACACCCAGTTACCCGTACCTTGTTCTTTTCAGCTCTCGTAAAAGGCTGATGCTCAGGTATGAATAATTAAAAGGCCTTTTTAGTTTTTAATGTAGAAAATAAATTGGATCGTTGGAGGGAATTGAACCCGACGTGAATCGAACACGCAACCTTCTGATCTGGAGTCAGACGCGCTACCATTGCGCCACGGATCCGTCGTTGTAATCCTTTGATCAGTTTTCAATTGTAGACATCGTTATAGAAAAATAAACGATACTTATAATCAATTAGTTCTTTGATGAATATTACCCATGTAAATAGGAATTACAATATTCTAGCCCATCTGATAGCGCAGAGGGCTAAATCCATCGACCAGGATTACTTTTATTTGGCAGATTACCCACAAGGGATCCCAGATGTTATGAACTTTGTTAATATCTTGGCTTTATAATATGGTTTATCATTCAAAAATATCAAGTCAGACCTAATTGTCCCAATTAATTATCGATTCACAACTAACACCTTATCCCATGCCAAACCGGACCCATTGACAGCTTACYCCCAGAACCAATCGACTTAATTATTAATGGGACTATCGGGTCTTTTTGATAGATATGGGACTATAAGGTCTGATCTGATTATATTTGAACCTGTAATTTAAAAGGGTCCGTTTGGTTTGTAGTTGGACTCAGAATTAGAATYAAAATCTTTTAAAATTGAAATCAAAATGGTATATTTCCATAATCTGATTCAAACAAGAATGAGAATGAAAATTGGAATCAACAGGAATGAGATTTCATTCATGAGGGAGGGCAAAGAATGGCCATTCCCTGAAATGAGAGAATGCCATTCYAGTAAAAACGGAAATGAGATTCTGATTCTGTCCGATCAAACAGTTGAAATCGGAATAAGTCATTTCAATTCAAATTCCAGACCCCTTTTCCCACAAACCAAACGGGACCTTATTTTTATCAAATCGACATATTTGGACGTGATTATAAGTATATCATGATAAAAGTAGGTTTTAGATGGGGATTTTTTTTTTGTAATTTGCTAATATATATGCATATACATAATCGTATATTCATATATTAGTCAGATTAAAATAATTAATCATTCATGGATGCTTGATATATCAGTTTGGTTTTGTCAGATTTTTCCGACCCATTGACAACCCTACAAGTGACTTGTAGAGGCACTTTCCTCTTACGCATTATATAGGCCAGCCCATGAGAGAGGAGTTGGGGTGCAATCTGGGTGGGCTCAACTTTACCCTTTGAGTTATTGACAGTCCATGCTTGGGCTTTATATTTGGGTGGGTGCCTCTAGGTAGTCGAGAGCTGGAACGAGAATGACCCGACCCGAGCGTATCATGTCAATTATATTCTATTCCGAAGAATCACTTTATGAAATGACTTGTGACTTGTGAGCAAAGAGTGATCTTCAAAAAGTGAGAAAGAAATAGTTCTAAAAAGATTCCTAATTTTTTAGAGTGGTTATAGTGCCTCTCTCTCTCTCTTTTTGTTTTTAGTGCTAAGTACAAACATTAGAGCCAAATTATAAACAATTGTTTTTCAGATTTTAACGTTGATGGGCACCAAATTATTTTCCCTGTATAACCATTTCCAGCTCCTGCTTCCTTTCTCCACGTTTGTGTCATCAACACTTAACGTCTTTAAAAGCCCAAAGGACACGCAGAAAGATGCCAAATGAACCTGATCTTCTTCCTAATCCTACATGTTCTTCCCAAAAGAATAAAGCCTTGGGTCCCACCATTGTTTTGAATCTAATTCTCTCTTTACCTAAGATCTACATTTACATTTTGAAACATTATTCCTTTCTCCACTCAAATCTTGGGCACTAATGCTCTTTATACCATCCTTCAGTCACAAAACTGGATGTGCTTTTTTCTTTTTTGAAAAAAAGAAAGAAAGAAACTGTATGTTTTTGTGTCCTCTATAAGTGCTCACCTTCCAATTTATTGCATCCCACTAAGAGCTTTCACTCTTCAGCTACACCTCTCCTCTTTTCTGAATTCCTCAGATAAAAATCTTAAAGAGAACTTGATGTCCCTGTAAGTTTTTCTTTTCACCCTTTAATTTCTACAAAAAAGAAAAAAAAAAAATCTCTGCATGGTTTCTCAGCAACAAACTGTTCAATGGTTTTGCTTAGTTTGTTGAGTGTATGCAATTTTTTTTGTTTTTACATTGAATTAGCAAGGAGATTTGTAACGGTTTGCGTTGCTGGTTTGACAAATTTCGAGGAGCACCAAATCCGAGACAAATGGACAGCGAAAGAAGACCAGAAGGTGAGCGACTGCGTATCTGAAAATCGAGAGAGAGAGAGAGAGAGAGAGTTAGCTTTTTATTAATTTCCTCCTCCTATGGCGTATGCAAAAATGATTTGAAACATGGGTTTTTTTTATTCTATGAAATTGATCATTACAAGCAGATACTTATACATCACCAACCAAGAAAGAAACCACCAGAAGTACTGAAAATTATTCGGCATCGACTACATCCAATAATGCGCTGACCATGGCTTTACTCGGAAACACTGGCAACGGCGTGAGCGCCACTGGCAATAGCATCCTTAAAATGCCTGCCTTCGAATCAAAGCGCAGCTCTGGTTCAGTTACATCCACTTCTGAAATGAAGGATGCTGTTGTAGATGGCAAACTTGTGAAAGTTATCGACACTCCTGGTACCCCCTATAGCAGCTCGATCTCTTTTGCTTTAATTATTGATCTCTGTCTCTGTCTGTGTCTGGTTTCTTTGATCATGCAAGAAAACCCATTATTTTTTCTAAGTTGTTTTTACCTTTTTTTTTTCTGGGCTTTCGGATGTATGCTTGGAGTTGGAGTGTTGCATGATAAGCAGAAAATTGAGCTGACTGGATGAGTTTTTGCAGGGCTTTTTAACTTTCTACTTAGAGCTGATTTCGTGGTCAAAGAGATTGTAAAGTGCATTGAATCGGCAAAGGATGGAATCCATGCAGTTGTGGTGGTTTTATCAGTGAGGTCCCCTTACTCAAAAGAGGAAGTAACTGCAATTCAAGGCCTGAAGATTCTTTTTGGAGATAAAATTTCTGACTACCTGATCTTTGTTTTCACTGGTGGGGATGAACTTGAAGATGATCAGACATTGGATGATTATTTGGAGGATGAGTGCCCTCAACCTTTAAAGGTTATGTTTCATTTCAGAATCTCTTTTCTCAATTCCTTTCGGTTCTTGTATTAATATTATTTGGTTCATCATTGCTAATTGCCTTAAACTATGTTTGGTTTGACAGAAAATAAGATAGAATCAAGAAGTTGAGGGAGGGAAAGTTCATTCTTTCTTCAACCTACTGTTTCTCTCTTTTTTTTTATGTCAAAAGAAACACAGGAGATGTTCCCAATTCACGGGGTAGTGTGTTGTGGGTAGACGTGAGCAGGGTACTTGTGGGTAGGAGATCTGGACTCATATTCACCCCACTTGATTATTTGTCCAGATTGGGTATATGGTTGAGACCCGGGATTCCTACTCACTTTTCCTACCCACTCTCTACCTACTGTGAATTGGAGCCACACATCTCTAATTCACGGCAAATTCACAGCGGGTAGAGAGTGGGTAAGAAAAGTTTGTAGGAAATCTGGGCTCATATGTTGATCCAGATTCTAATAATCAACAGTAGGGTTACTGGAGTTAAAGGAAAAGAATAATACGTCACACTCCACCATGGTTTTCGAACCGCTATTGACCCGGATGGTTGGACCATTCGGTTCAAGAACCGTGCAGGCAATCAGTTTCGTTTTACCCCAAAACTGGTCTTTGGCAAAAAAACGTTAAATTGGTTAATGACCCATTGACCAATGCGGTCAAACCGTTGATCCATTCAATAGTTTTTGACAATTTTTTAATTTTCATTGTCAAAATAGACCATTCAATTGAACCATCGACCCAGAAACCGATGGCCAGAACGATTTCGTTTCTGGATCGTTTTTTAAAACCATGCACTCCACACTCCACAACGAATTAAAAATGAAAATTAAAGAAATCTTTTTTAAGGGGTCGGGAAGAAAAATCCTCTACATGTCTGAAATAGATGGGATATCATCTAAGGAGCTTCCTTTGCTTTTGCTAGCCTGAATACATGACATGAAGCCTTTATACCTATCATCTTTGATTAATTTGAGAATTTCTTGGAGTTGTTAAGGCATTAAGGCTGTGTTTGGTTTGTTAGAAAATAAGAATGAAATAAAAAGTTGAGGACTTGAGGGAAAGCTTTTTAAGGTTTAATAACTTTCCCACAAGTTTTTTGTACATCAAACCAAACACAGCCTAATTAAAGATAAATATACAGAAAGTTGAGGAAAAGTTCTAAACAAACTTCCTAAAATTCTTTGTGAACTTTCCTTCAACTTTTAGGCTATGTTTGATTTGCAGGAAAACGTAGGGAATCTTTTCCTTTCCCTACGTTTTCCTTCAAACCAAACACAGCTTTAAGGATTATCACCCTGATACAGATTCTGGGACAAGAGTCATAGAGTTAGAAAACAATGTTATATCTTTACCAAAGAAAAATAATAAAAAAAAAGGTTAGTAGAGGATTAACTACTCGTGTGGTAAATCCGATTTGGATTTTTTGATTAATTAGGAAATTATATCAGTTTAATTTGTAATTGCTGAACTATTTCATTTCATGGAATGAGACCCACACTATTAAGTCTTCATATTTTCTTTGAATTAAGAAATTGAATTAAAAAGGTTAGTAGAGGCTTCACATCATATGAAGTGGGTAGATTTTATTTTATTTTATTTTGATAGGTAGCCATAGGTCTGAAGTGAATATTATTTTTTAAAGAGTGGAGTAATTATTTCTACATTTTTTAAGAGTGAAAAAAACCACTCTCTAGATATTCTTTCTTGAAAAAATAGGTAACCACTCTCTAGATATTCTTTCTTTAATCTTTCAAGATTAAAGATTAATGAAGAAATAACATTTTCGGTAAACATATATAGTTTCATGTTAATTTTATTAAAAAATAACTTATTCTGAAGCATGAGAGAGGGAGAGAGATTTACATAAAACAACATCAGAGTATCTAGACCAGCAACATCCTAATATCAATAATAATATGAAGAAAAAAGAAAAGAAAAATATGGCTTAGTGATCCCAACAAAATGTGATCCGTGTGGGTTTGCCAGGGGTGCAACTCGAACAGGTTGGATTGGGATGAAGGTCAACCCAATCTCAACCCTAAAAGTGTAAATCGGGCCTGGCCCTACCTGAAGTTAGCCAAGTTTATCAACCCAAGCCTAAGATGAGCTTTAACTCAATACAACTTCAACCAAACTCAACTCTAAAAGTGCAAACCTCTGGTATGGGCCTGACCCAACCTGAGGGTAAGCCCAAGATTATCAACCCAAGCCCAACCTGAGCTTAACTCAACATAACTCAGGTTGGGCTTGAACCGGGCTAGGGCAAGTTGGTCAAGCTTGTCCAAACAAAGAAACTACGATAAATTTTAATTCTGGTTTTATCTTCTAAAAATAAATATAGGCATCCAAATTGTCATTTGGATCATTTGAAAGGTCTTGTAAAGGGCTTTTAGATACATCTGGTTAGGGGTGATCATTTCTAACCGGGCCCACCCAGCCCAAAAATTTTTATGCTGGGCTGGGCCTACGTTCTGTGTCCTGACTCGGTCCAGGCCCACAATATTATAACATAATGTATTTAATGTCACTGGCCTGGCTTGGCCCAGCCCATGATCACTCCTACATCTAGTTACAAAATACTCTGCTCAATTTAATATAGAGAGATTAAAAAAAAATGAAAGATAATTTTATGATTTATTTGATTCACAGTTAGAATTAGAATTAGAATAGTCTATTTCTATAGTTTGTTTGGTTCAGACAAAAATAGAAATGGGAATTAGAATCAAAAGGAATGAGAACTCAGTCCCAAAAGAAGAAGGGAATAACCATTCCACCAGGATGAGAATGCGATTCCAATTCCACTCAACCAAACAGTTGAAATTGGAATAGCCCAATCCGATTCCAAATCGCTATTCCTAATAACGAAAAAGGGCCTCGTAGATTTGAGGACCCAAATACCCAATCACCCAATTTGAAACTRCACCATATTTAGCTTTTAAATTAAACCACATTTGTTTTTCTTATATCTCCACCATTTCAGTCAAAATTATACACTGCGTAGGATCAGCTAGGAAAGGAACAAAAGAGGATGTCTCTAGGTGCCCACACATATGATCCCCACACAATAGGTGGGGCCTACACCTATGACCTCAAAAACTGAGACCATCAAGTTGGACCCACAAATGGACCCATCTTTCAATTGTACTTTCCATGTATAACTTCTTATAGATGACCAATATAGAGCCTTAACAGCAAGTTTTTTTTWTATATAAATTTAGTAACCTTTTCACAAGTAAAAAAAATCATTAAAATTTTTCAATAAAATAAATTGTATATTCTACTTGGATATATTGTAACGTAAAGTTATAAATAGAACGAATTTTCGTTATGCCTCTTAGAAATTTATTCATTTATTTTTAACTTCTAAATTCTAATTAAATAAATACTCTTTTTCGGTGATGTTGATGCAGGAGTTTCTCAAATCCTATAGAGATCGGACTGTGCTCTTTGACAACAAGACAAAGAATGATGAAAAGAAAGATAATCAAGTCAAGCAATTTCTCTCCATTGTAGACACGGTTGTGGCCAAAAATGGTGGAAAACCATACAAAAATGAATTTTTTGTTCAATTGCATGAGCGGACAGACAAAACATATGAGGAACGGCTCAAAGAAGTAAGAGATAAGGTAAATCTTGAATCTTGATCCCTCTTATTCAAAACTCTGGGTAGGTCAGATAGAATGACTGGTGGGCCACAATGTGGATCAGGTTGGGCAATGGGTTTTGATTACTACAGCCAAGACCAACTCTGAGCCCAATTAATAGCCAGCCAGGCTGGGCTGAGAAATGACCCATTGACGTTGGATCTTCCATGTGGCAAACGATTGTGGAGCTAGAAAGCTGGTCCTCAAACTGTATCTGAGGATATAGAATAATACAACCATCACCTTAACCTAATTCCATGGTTGGGTTTGTATCCCAGGCCCAATGCTCAGCCCAACCCAAATCCATTCTGGCTAAGAAATGAGGTTTTGAAATTTGAAATTCTGCTGATAGTTGATGAATGTTTAATTGCTTACATGAGAAAGAAACTTTATGTTTGATTCATTAATAATGTGAGTTTTGCAGGTGGCATCAAAGCTTAAACAAACAATTTCTAAGCTACAACAACAGCTAGCAGAAGAGAAATCTGACCCGGAGCTTGCCAGGGAGACAAAGGCACTTCGTATGAAGCTCAAGGACTGTGCTATTTTATGAGGGAACCTTTCATGCTTCTATGTCCTTCTGAATTCTAATATCCCCCAGATAAACTGTCTTGGAATTCTGTCTGATCCGTTGAGAAGGGAGAGGGAGTTGTTTTGTGGCATTTGCTGAACTAGTTGATCTTGTCTCTGGGGTAGTTTGATTCTTTTCGTCTTCTGCTGGTGTGTTTGTTTACTAAATGCTTACTTCGCCAAATGGTGGCCATTGGCCACCTAACTTTTATCTTCCGGAACATATACATAGTGTTACATCTGAAAATTCCTGTTATCTCTCACTCACTTTTTATGTTTAAACGTTGTTAGAGAATAAAGTGGTTGAATGGTTCGTTGAAATGGTATCAGAAACTATTTGATAAAGTGGTTTAATGCAAAATTTCGATATGTATTGGTCCGTATCGGTTGATACGTATTGTATCGGGAGCTTTCTAATACACCTCTCTCAAGGGGAGTTTCAGGGTCAAACCTGGTTCAGGAAGTAGACGGTCCTTAAATCGACCCCTCTGAACCAGATTGAAAAAAAAAAAACTAAAAAAAAAAATAAAGGGGAGTGACAACCGATACAGTCTGATACACCCTTACCAGCATATCGGACTATATCAATATTTTGAACATTGGTTTAATGTTTGATCTTTGTCGCCACATTATAATTAATTAAATTTCAGCACAAAGTATTGGTGGCCTGTTTTTATTGGAATGGACTTTGCCATGAGGGGGCATGTAAGAAAATAAAAACCTATTTAGGGATCTCACCTAACACCTTAAGTTTTTAGGTTGAATAGTTCCTTGAGAATCATTTGATTCATAGGGCAATCTTTATACAAATTTACGAACTACTATGTCTCCAAGAAATAAAAAATGAAAAATGTAAAAAAGATACATCGTGCGGCAACAATTCAATTACCCCACTATTAATTGTTAAAAATGGATTGGTGCATGGAGAAGAATACTTAGAGATGGCAATTTGACCCATCCCCATGGGCCCTGCCTTGCTCTGCCCTAGTCGGGGTGAACTTTTTGACCACTGATTGGGGTTTGGGGAAACCCAAAACTCTTGTCCACCCCACCCTGACCCCGGCCACACACACACATATATATATATAGTATAATATGTTATATTATACTATATTATATTACATAATATAAAATAGTTCTAGGTAGGTTTAAAAAAAATAAAAACTAAATAAATTTGTAAGTATACAAATAGGAATTACCAGTAGGGCAAATTCGGGGATCCCCGTTCCCATAGGGATGAGGTGGGGTTAGGATTTCTAGCCCTGTAGGGGTTTGATGTGGGGACTGGGTGAGACGTTTGAGTTCAGGGTCAAGGGTGGGGCAAGCAAAACCCGGCCTCGCCCCACCCCATTGCCACTCCTAAGAAGCCTCCATGCAGGCCTAGTGGTTGGATATTTTGGCAAACTTGCCCTAATGCCCTTAAATCCTCTTAGGATGATACCAGGCAGTGTTTTTGAACTGTCATTCACTTAGATGGTCAGACCGCTTGGCTCAGAAACTATCCAAGCAATCGGTTCCATTTCACCCCTAACCTGTCCTTTGGCCAAAATTTGTTGACTTAGTCAATGACTAGCTAACCCAGGCAGTGAAACCGTTGACCCATTTGACCTAGACACTGGTTTTTGCCATTATTTTATTTTAATTACTTTTTAATTTGGAACGACCCATCTGTTCAAATTGAATGGTTGAACCACTGACCTGGAAACCAGTTGCCGAAGCGATTCCAGTTCCAGGTCGGTTTTTAAAACATTGGTGACAGATAAATTGTTGCTATGCAGGGAAACAGATTCTCAAAACTGAAGAGATGGTGTGCGGTGCCTCTCCCTGCAATTTGTTCTGATTGAGATCAAGACTTTATTAGGGATGTAAGGTAACTGTACCCGATGAACTTTTGGAACCCAAGTACAGGTATTAGGTATTGAAGCTGAAGTTGCAGAAGGCCAAAGATGGCGTGAGATTTCCAATCTCCGGAGGTATTCTCCCGGATAGACTGTTGGAAGATAACACCAGCCTCTTAAGCTTGAGTTTCTCAAGGTCAAAGATGGTGTTGCAGAAAAAGTACAAATCCTCAAGCAGTTAGGTTTCCAATGTGAAGGTATAGGACCAATGAATTCTTTCTGACCAAGGCCGATGTATTGCAGCTTTGCCAATCTCCGGTGAAATCTTTCTCATAAAGGAATTGTTCCCGTGTTTTAAAGAGATCCAGGTCGGATATCATGGTCAGTTTGGCCAGAGACGGAGGCAGGTTAACAGTGAGGGAATTATTAAAAACAGGTATTGTCTATACGAGATTGAAAAAAGGTCAAGCTCAAGAGGGATCTGCCCACAGATATCAGTGAGTATATATGGTGCGGCCAACCAGTTGGATGCGCCACGTCCAAATGTTTCAGTTGAACAAGTTTTGACAGATTCATGGGCAATGGCATTTGTGAGGGTTGGTTGCAAGTGAATCCGGTGTGTGGGACCAATAAGGTGATTGCATGAAGTGTATCAGATTCCGGCCATTGAGTACGAAGGCCGGGAACTTTGAGGTGATTTCTAAAAGGTTTTAGGAAACATGCCTTTCGGAGATTGTTGATGTGATTCAGAATTGAAACTTCGAGTTCGAGGTAACTGGCAGCAACCAGCAAGGCTAAGAAAGCGGAGCTCTGATAAGTGACCGATTTCGAGAGGGATGGAACCAGTGAAAAAGTGGACATGAGTGAGCCTCGACTTTATCCAGAGAGAAAATTCATGCTGAGTTCAAGGCGAGCGAGATTGGGTAGCAATGTGAAAGTGAATTGGCCAGGGGTGCCTATGAGATGCGAGTCATTCAGGTTTATCTCAGCAACATTTCAGCACTGTTGCAGATTTGTTGATGATACCTCCAAATCCCTACTGCAGATGCCTTAAATCCCACCAGTAGACCCAAATAAAGAAAAGGTAATTCCCCAGTCTGGCATTCAAAAACAGCAGATAAATGCTCCAGATCCTCACCGTGTCAACATTTCAAAGTTATCTAATATCGCCCTTAAGCTCAGCACCTGGTCCACTGAGGCATCTAAGAAAATAAGTGTCATCAGCATATTGGAGATGAGTAATACAGGGACCCTCAGAACCTACTTTAAGCCTTCAATCCAACCCAATTGAATGCCCTTCTCCATTAGCAAACTCAGCACCTCCATAACTATCACGAATAACAAAGGGGAAAATTAGATCCCCTTGCCGCAGCCCTCTGGAGGCATACTAGCAAGTTTTTACCTCATCATGGTGAGAGTAGCATACTAGCATATTGGGTGCTGATTAAGAAGGAATTTAAGTGGGAAGGAGCAAGATCAACTTGAAAGACTAGCTCTTGATGGCTGCCTTCTCCCATAGAGAGTAGCAGATTGCTCATGCTTTGATGGGAGCAAAAATTGAACTTTGATGGCTTTTGACCATCAGGCTTAGGTGTCTTTTCGGAGATTATACTCGTTAGGTTTGGTAGGTGAAGTTATTACCGGAGCAAAATATCTAATTGTCTCCAAGGTCCAAAAGTAGCCTACTCTTCCAGTTGTGCTGGTTTTATAGCTACTTGGATTAATGCCCACCTTGGATTGGATTGGATTTAAACACCTGGGTCGGATCAGTATTTGATTCGGATTGGGCCAAATCCAATCAATTGACAGCCTAGTTTTGGCTCTCGGTCAAGTCAGATTTGGACATTAGAATATTAGATTGCATCTCCAGGATTGAGAGAGAATAACCATTACAAGTTTTCAAATGCTATCCCATTTGCGCAGACATTTTTTCCCTTTAGCTTTAGGCTGTGTTTGGTTGCAATGCAAATAAATTTGCATTGATGCAAAACCATGGCAGTGCAAATGATTTGAGTGTAAATGAAGTAAAATAAGGCATGAAGCAGAATAAAAGTAAAATCCAGAACAAAATTAAACAAGAATTTGCAGTTTTTACATTTGCACACTCATGCATTTATACTAGTACAAATAAATTTGCACTGCAACCAAACACAGCCTTAAAGTTCAAATTAGGAGTACAATTCATTTTTCTATTGAATATCATTTTCCAAGAAAAATTATTCGCTTTTCCCACATTCTAAGTGCAACCAAACACAACCGATATGTAAATGAAAATTTGAAGTCGATGTCCATTTGTTTTAATTTTCTTTCGAGTTTAGCTTCACCTAGCACAAGGTCTTTTATTAACCCAGTTTGGAATATTAAATTCCCACCAAGAAGTCAATTGTTCATCTAATTACCAGCTTCAAAAGAGGTGTATCATGGCTGATTTGAACTGCATTTAACTCTGCTGAAAAATGAAAAAGTCCATCGATCATGTGTCCCTCATTTGCCCAAGCTTGATGGTTTGGATCGTCACTTGGTTCAGAAAGTGAAAAGAACTCAAATTTTGCTGCAATTAGGAACTGGGTGATCGGCTAGAAATGCCAATCTGTTCAACAGAAGGATATGAATGATGTAATGAAGGTTGTCAATGCCTTTGAGAGATTGTTAATGGCACTAGCCTGCTCTTTTACGGTAGCAGATGCACTTGGTTCAATAGAAGTGTCAATACAAGACCCAAAATACTCAACTCACTGCTTACCAATGATTCAATTTGCTACCACACTGATCAAATATAGATCTGTTATGCCAAGAAAATGATGCTAAACATTACAATTCTATTTCATGCTTTTCTTATTTACTTGTACATCTTCTGATAGATATACCCAAGCCCTCATACTCCAAGAAAGGAAAAACAAGAACAGGAAAGAATAAAGAATACGGCACAATAAATGCCAGGAGAATACAGATGAGCATACTCTGCTTAGGTAATATGACAAATATGTGAACCACCTCATCAGCCTTTACCCATGTTTAAGGTATTTTGATGAATGTCTGAATCCCCATAACTGCGGAGTCAGGAGCAAACAGAARAATTATTTAAAGCAGATAAGATTTAAACCACAAAGACATGATATCTAAGATTTGTAGCAAAATATCAGGAGGCGTGTACAATGTTGGCCTTTACATGAACCTATCTGCCTATTACGGTCATCCCATTTTGAAATTTGGATCTGTTTAAATATCCAAATCACCACTCTATTAAAGATTAGAATCAATGTCAACATAAAAAAAAAAAATTGTCAGTTCATCAAGATTTGCAGCCTAACTAACGGTTTTGTTGGCAACCTGACAACAACATGGGGTAAAGATAGTTAACTGTGACTTGCTCGGTCTTCAAGTCCAGTAGACAAATTTAAGATTGGTTGGATAGGAGAAAGCATATTAATAGTGAGGCACAAGCAATTAATTCATTCTTGTTCCTTAAACTTGTTGATCATGCAATGGTTTCTCATTACCTCCTATTGTGCTTAAGAAGTCGAAGCAGGAATGACAAATGGTGAAATTTAAAGGTGTAATGTGTAGGAAAAGATTGATAACACAATCAGTTGATAGATTGTRCCACTCATCACATCCAGAAACAGGTTTCTACAAATCATTGATTACCATGTCACAGTAAATTGCATCTGGCATGTTCTAAGGATTTTGTCATTTGGTTATCCCAAACTACATCAAATTGTATAGAGGTTTTCCATCAGACAACGGAGGAAAGTTGGTATATTAGGATAGTCAATAGCAGACTGTAAGCAACAAGTGACAAGCATCAGATACACAAAACAGTCAACTATCAATAAAGATGCCTGCTGCTGGACAATTCTTTGAATGGCTTGGTATGGTCAAATAACAAGCATTTCATCACTTTGCAGAACTCCATGTAGTCACAGACCACAAAACTAGACTGACCATAACAGAATGTTGACATGCCAACATGAGTTTGATGAACCAGACAGCATGACAGGAGACAGCCGTACAAATAAAGGACCATTAGAAGTTAGCATGTCTTCTGATCATTTACATGGTAGACAACCTCTAAACCCATAAAAAAAAATAAAAAAAAAAACAACAAGAAATCACCTTCATACAGAATGCACCTACAGGTATAGCTGTGGGTGCCTCGTACATACAAGCTCCAGGCCCTTACTCCAATGTTGGCAAGGTTGACAACTAGTCACAATATATGGATACCTACATTATTAGCTGATTGGAACAAACACTAATTTGTTTACTTCGATTCCCTTCACCACTAAACATAACATTTCCCTTTTGTCTAGCTACAGGACCAACCATTGGTTCAAATTAGAGGTGATTTGGGGAGGATCTAGGTTTCCCTAGAGTCTACTCCATATCAAGTATAAGAACAAACCCATTTACACCTGGTTTCCTTTTCTCCAACAGCTACCACTTGAGACTTTAGGTTTAGAAGAGGTTTTAGAGACCATGAGACTGCAAGATAGGCTTCCCAAGTTTCTCAGGGATGCATTCTTATTCCAAGAAGACCTTGATCAAAGGATTTGATCTATTGATCCATTCTGTTCTCTTACTTGTGCTTCTTTCTTTGAAACCCTAGATGATCCTCTCCCATCTCCCCAATCCTTTTTCCAATCAAAAACCTTTGGATGGCCCTACTAAAAGATCAAAGATTTTGCTAAAAGCCACATTAAAGATAATCAATACCTGTGATATGATCCAACAAAGATAGAATATTGTGCCCCTGAATCCACATGCATGCTTCCCTCAAAAATTTCAAGAATGCCATCCACATATTCCTCTCTTTTTCTTTAACAACATGGTATGAAACAACCTTTTCCCTCTTTTTGGAGTTATTTAAATATGGATGTATCTGTTATCTTCTAAACTGGTTTCTCTTTACACAAATAGGATAAACTGCCGTATTGTACAATACAAGCAATCGTTTGTGATGCTTGGTGAAAGAGGAATGTTTTTTTTTTTTTTGAAGAGTTAAAAGGAAAAATTTTATTAATAAGRAAAGGAAGTACAAACTAAGAGGTGACAAGATGACACCCCACCATTACAAAATGACTAAGAAATAGATCACAAAAATGATCAATATTCAAGTCTAGATTTCAAGAACTTTCAAAAAATTCTCCCCCAAATCTGATATACTGATTTGATCAAATTCAGGGAGCACCAAAACCCAATCCAACACAAGAATTAGCAAAATACATTATACATGCTAAACAACCATTTTTGTTAGCTGAAGATGTTAAACTTGAAAAATAGTTACGTAATTCTCTAAACCCACAATTTAAAAAAAAAAAATTGTAGGAATACTATTAGATCGGATGCTTTAAATTTTTTTTATTCATATAAACAAAATTTAATTTATATGTTATCAAATCTTAATTCTAAAGTTACAATTACTTCTGATATTTGGACTTCTAAATTTAACATAAGTTATATTTGTGTTACCGGTCATTTTATTGATGAAAATTGGCTTTTAAATAAAATAAATTTAAGTTTTACTAAGCTTGAATGGCCACATACTGGCCCAACTATTGATGCAAGTATTTTAAATACTTTACATGCTTATGGAATTGACAATAAATTATTTTCTATTAGCTTTGATAATGCTAGTAATAATTATTCAGCAATAAATATTTTAAAATCTCAATTAAAACCACGTTTATATATGTTAAAAGTTCTGGAGCAAGAAAACAAGAATTTAAATATTTATGTCCAAATTATGGTTTAAAATAAAAACATTTTATATTAGATGTTAAAAATAGATGGACTTCTACCTATGCTATGTTAGAAAGTTATATTTCTCACAAACAAATTCTTAGTGATTTTTATAATGCAAAAATGCCTACTGATATTATATTTGAGGAAGACTGGGAAATGGCAATTTGTATAAGGGATTTTTTAAAACATTTTTATGATGCAACTAATGAATTATTGGGTATTTATTATCCAACTAGTTGTAATTTAGCTTACTAATTAATGATGATTAGTGATTGTTTTACAAAATATAGAAAGAATCCATAATTTAAAAGTATTGTTGAAATAATGGAAAATAAATTTAAAAAATATCGGGAGAACGTTTCTCCTCTTTATTGCTTAGCTACAACATTAGATCCTAGGATTAGGAAAGATGGTGTAGCTATTTTACTTGGAACATATTGTGAAAATATGAATATTGAAATTGGAAATAAAAAAGAAGAAATTAATAGTTTATTATTTGAAATGTATAACTTATATGAATCTGAAGTAATAGGGAGTAATAAAAATTCAACAACTTGTACAGCCACATCTTCCACTTCTGAACTTGAATCCAGTAGTGGAAAAAAAAAAAAAACTTTTTTATCTAATAAGAGGTAGAAATCCATTGCCTTGACAACAAGTTCATTTACTGAACTTAATTTTTTTACAAGCAAATTTTTCTACTTTAAGTGATTCTTCCTTTACCTCGGAGGGAACAAATAATTTTGATATTTTCACCTGGTGGAGTAAACATGCAAAAAATTATCCAGTTCTCGTTGCCATGGCACGTGATCTACTAATCCCTCTGGTGTTTACAGTTCCATCGGAGTCTTGTTTTAGTGCAAGTATTAAGGTGTTGGACGACGAGAAATTGTATGAATGATGAAAGTCTAGAGATGTGCATTTTCTTTAAAGATTAGTTAGATGCTAAAGATAGATTACAAGACAAAGGAGGGCATGACACTACACCTGATGTTTCACTTGAAGCACATGACCAAAGTCAAATTCAATAGGAGAAAATGATGAAGTTAATATTTTTTGTATACTCAATAGTTGTATAACATTTTTTCAAATTATTGTAAATTTTGTTTTAATTTTATTTAATTTATTTGATATTTTTTAATAACGTAATTTTTTATTTTCAATTTGTAACTATATTGTATTTTTTATATTTTATTAATTTATTCCATTTTCCAATTTTCATATTTCATTCATCCAACCAGTGCATGCTTTGTATCATTCAAATTTAAATGAAATAAAATTCCTATTTTTCTTTCAATTTGTTGTTCACTTTGAGTCTTTCTCTGACTTTTATTTGGTTATGTATTTTTTTTCATTTCTTTGTTAGATTTCTTATTTTTTCAAATAGTTCCCAAAGGAAAGTTAAATATTTTAGTTTTACTTAGCAAAGAAATAAAAACATAAAAAATGTCAAAAAAAAAAAATCTAGCCCAATTTGGCCCACACCTAAGGTCTGGCCTGTGGCCCAGCCTAGGCCTGTGGCACGGCACGGGCCTATACGGGCTTGGGCCACGACCCTCGACCCACGGGCTTGGGTCATGGGTCATGCCGGGCCGATCCCCTAATTATCCTTGGGGAGGGTGGCACAGCCCGTTTTACACCTCTAGGAGGTCCCATGGTGCTTATTTGCTGATGAGGGTAGGAGTAAAACAAAATATATGCAATGTAAAAGCTTAATAACAATAGGAATGAAAATCAAGGTACAATTAGGATTGAAGACCAAGAGATAGGTCAATATGACCTTTTCCAGTACCTTGGTTTGATAATTCATGATAACAAACCAAGAGATGGGTCAATATGACCTTTTCCAGTACCTTGGTTTGATGATTCATGATAACAAACCAAGAGATAGGTTACCCATAGAACTAGAGCAGGATGGGAAAACTGGTGGGTACATCCAAAGTCCTATGTGATAGGAAAATATAACTTGGATTAAAAGGAAAGTCCTTTAAAACAGTTGTAAGGTCAGCAATACTATATGAAGCAAAGTGTTGGACAGTGAAGAAACAACATATCCAAAAATAGGCCCCAATAAGTGGTATAACGAGAGAAAGTAGACTTAGATGACCATCTACAGCACCTGTAAGGAAAAAAATAATCAATTACAAGTTGAAAGTGCTAGAAGGGCTAGCGGCAGACCAAAAAGGACATGGATTGAAGTAATAAGAAATGTTTTGAGCATTCATAATTTAACAATGGATATAGCATTAAACAGAATGGAATGGTGTAACAGGATTGATGTAGCCAACCCATATAGTTGGGATATGATGATCCAATTTCATGTCCATGAACATTACATGCAGGGAACAATGAATCAAAATAAAGAAAATCAATTAAGAACTACAAAAGAAAATGTTAAAAACCATGCAAGCATGAAGATTGATAAAAATGCCTGGAGACTCTCATATGTAAAAGGCTAAAAGAATTGAAAGGTACTGAGAACAAAGATAAACAAGGCACACCTCAACGTTCTTCAATTCAAATTCTGGGCTATGTGCTAAGCACAAGTTCCCAAAGGTTTCACAAGGTCCACTTGTTCCATGTAACCTTTTCAAAGAAAAATCCAAGATTAGTTGAAAATAATTTGCTAGATATAACAGTAAAAAAATCACAGGTTTCACTTTAATTTTCCTTAATTGGAAAGTTGGTGCAACTTTTAAAATTTGACTTACAGATCTTCATCCAGACATAAAGCAAAGTTTCCACCCCCACCAAGGGCCAATAGGTCATTCAAACACAGGTAGAAATACCGATTTGCACCTTCAAGAATCATGACGTCACATTAGTACAAAATAAACAAATATGTTCTTGCTTATCCTTGATGACACAAAGATTCACAATTTTCACCTATTTGAAAGTTCTTTATTTATGTCAGTGGTATCCTTACAAATGTAAACCTTAAAAAAAAAATAGCATATCTATTGATAAGCAACAGAATCATCATAAAATACAAAAGACTGAAATGACTCATTTAGGGAGGGCTAGAGCTATTCCTATAACCAAATATAGAAATGTGTTTGCACCTCATAGTTTTGGGCAACAACATCTGCATTGTCTTTCTTAAATTCCAACAGCCAATGGTAGTCTCACCTTTTGTCTTAACTATCAATTAGCAGGATGCCTGTGTGATGGATAGGCCTAGTGTCAAACAATCAAAAGATCACAACCCACCATTCAATGCAATCTACAATAGATTAACTGGAAAAACTCAGCAAAAACCCACCATTTTACATGAATGCGGGATGGTGGAGAAAATTGTAATCTTACAAAGTTCTAAAACACTTGAGAATTATATGGTCGGAGGCCATTTGATCAAGTGGATTTTTGGTGTAATCCCTCTAATGTGGGAATTACTAATTAGTAGGTCATGAAGCTCAGAGTATTCAACTTATAACCTTTAATCTACAGCTTCTTAGATCCAATCATGATTCAAAGAAGAAAAGAAAGAGATGCCATGACTAATAGATGTAAGAAGAATTTTGTCTCAAACCTGAAAGATAGGAGTTGTGATTAATAAGGAGGAGGATATGGTTAAGGCCTTCATGGATCATTTTAAATCTATTTATGGGAGGCCCTTGGATGAAAAGCCTATAGTGGAAGGATTGGATTGGCCTAACCTGAGTAGGGAGTGTAAGGAAATGTTAGAAAGGAAATTTGAGCTGGAGAAGATCAAGGAAGCTGTGTTTTTATGGATAGGTCAAGGTTCTAGGGGCAAATGGTTTCATAATGGCTTTCTATGAGGATTGCTGGGATTTGTTGAAATGGGAATTAATGGAACTTTTTAGCGTATTTTTGACAGGAAAATTGTCATTCTAGGGCTTAATGCTAATTTTTAGCATTGATCCCAAAAACACTAGAAGCTGATCACTCTAAAAGATTTTAGACACATTAGAATGGGGACTAGAATCCATGAAATCATTGCCATGGTTTTGTCTTTTAGGTTTAAAAATGTCCTTCCCTCTATTAACACATCAGATCAGGGTGCCTTTGTGCAAGGTACACAGATTATGGATCAAACTCTTATAGCAAATGAATACATAGAAGAGAAAAAGAGAACAGGGAGAAAAGGAGTGATTTGTAAGCTAGGTCTACAGAAGGTCTATTATTTGGTGGACTGATCTTTCCTAATGGAAATCTTGAGGAGAAAATGAGAGATATTTCACACAAATGGACAATGGATGGGAATATGGGATGCTAATGACTTTGGGGATAGATAGCATAGAGCTAATGACTTTGGCATTACTTAGGAAGTGGTTATGGAGACTACCAATGGACAGGAATAAACTATGTCACAAGGTAATTTTAAGCATTCACACACAAATGGACAATGGATGGGAATATGGGATGTTAGATTGTCTGTTAGGGCTAATTGAGCCTCTCCTTGGAAGGCTATTCATTCCATTCTTCCATGTTTCCTCCCTTCTATCATGTATGTTGTTTCTTCTGGCAATAAGGTAAAATTTTGGAAATATGTTTGGTTAGGCCGTTAGGGCAATGACCTTTCAAAGACCAATTTCCTTCATTGTATACAGTGTCTTCTTTTAAAGGGGAATTTGTCTCAAAATTTATTGTACCCTCAGCTTCACATAATGGCTTTGACTAAGACTTAGGTTTTCAAAGGGGTATTAGGGACTCTAAAATTCTAAATGTGCTAAGACTCCTTCAAATCCTCGATGGTGTGTTTCTAAATCCCCTTAAATCTGATTCTAGGACTTGAACTCCTTCCTCTTTGGGTTATTTCTCTTGTGCCTCATTTTTTAAGGTCCTGTCCCAACTTTTTATGTTTGTGTAGCTTTTCCCTTTGAAAGAGGTATGGTGTAAACCAGTTCCACCTAGAGTTGGTGCTTTCTATCAAGAGGTCTTCCATGAGAGAATTAACACTTGAGACGTATTGCAGAAAAAGGAAACCTAAGTGTGCCTATCTTCATCTTGGTGTATACTTTGCAAAGCAAATGGTACGACATGCTATCACTTGCTAATAGGGGTGTAACTCAGACAGGTTGGTTCGGGTTGAATGTCAACCTAGGCCCAACCCTAAAGGTGCAAACCTTGGGCTTGGGCTTGGGCATGGCCCAACCCAAGCTTAACCCAACACAATCCGGGTTAATCCTAGGCTCAAGTTGGGTTGACCCAAGCTTAGTTGGGTAGGGAAGGTTGGTTGGGTTTGAAAGAAATTATGATACATTTTTATATGATCATCTTTCATTGGGATTTATAGCCAAATTTAAGAGCATAATTGATTGAAAATATGTACAGATTTCATTTACAAATGTACATATATATGTTTTAGACATATATACATAGGAAAAAGGATGGGTTATATAAATATAATTCATGTATGCATGTATTTATTAGTAACTCCACTAGTGTGATCTTGTCTTACACTGCCGGACCCAAGCCCAAATAAAGGAGGAGGGTGCATCAGGTTGGCAATTGGCACTAAAACTTTTGCCAAACTCTCATCCCAATTTGTCTTTCCATGCTCATACTAGGGCATTCTCTAGAAACGATGCGCTACACCCTAACCCAAGTGTAGTATAAAGTGAGCAAGGTTTGAAACACTAATAATTTAATACTGGATGTGGCTTTAAATAGAACAAATTGGAGAAGCAGGATTCATCATTCATGTAGCCGACCCCATATAGTTGGGATAAGGCATGGATGATGATGATATCGCTGCTGCTTTATTTTTCACGGAATCTACAACAACAAACACAGGAAAAACTTCTAGCGTAGCTACTGGCTCTGCGGGATCCGCTGGGTATCAAACTGCTTGTTTCGGTCGAGATCCAAATTCTGAGAGTAGTGATCGAGAGCTTGATTCTAACACTCGTGAGCGTGACCTTGCGAACAGAAAGAGTGAGCCAACCGAAAACCATATACGCAATAAGCAAAGCAAGCACCAGTACTAGAGTCAGTTGTTCCAGATCGAGAACCAGCCCTAATAGCAACAGAGGCAAGGATGGCAAGARCAAAGCAAGCAGTAGACCTAGCAGCTAATCCAGTGTTGGATCAAGACCCAACATAAGATCCAAACCTAGCCAAAAGACCAATAGGAGCATAAGTAGCTAATACGTCAGAAGCACGCACCAGTCACATACCCAGTAGTAGGACCTGCACCATAAGCTAGGGTTGCAGGAGCAGAGCAAGCCATACGTTGATCCAGTATGGATGAGGCATGGATTCATGTAGCCGATTCCATATAGTTGGGATAAAGCATGGATGATGATGATGTATTTGTTCGAGCAAGCTCCGGTTTGGTCAGGCCTAGGTTGGATTGGGCCGAGCTCAGGCTACTCAAGGCCTCAACCCAAGCCTAACCCAAGTCTAGGCTAGGCCCAAGTTTTTTGGCCTAGGCCCAACCCATAGCCCGAAAGTGTAGGCTGAGCCCAGGTTAGGCCTGCCAAGTTGCACCCCTACTTGCTAATCTCCTATCCATTTGTTACTTTAGAAACAATAATAGAATGCATCACTATTAGAGTGGCTCATTAGATCTTTAGAGAGCTTCTCAATCTTCTCAATAGATAATACTTTTTTATTGGAAACGGTAACTTCTTTAATACAAAATTTAAGTACAGCTGTCAACCCCTAAACAGATGTTGGGTCCCCAATAATCTTTATTACAAAACAGCCAAGAACATACTTTCCCTTACAGTCCCTTATTTAGCCAACATATCATCTTAACCATTAGCTGATCTCCTTGTTCATTTGAAGCAAGCACCAATCTCCCTTGTTATATTGAGAATTTCCCTTATGGGCTGTCAATAAATCTAGGCTCCCAACTTACTTTATTGAACTCAATCAATTAACAATTTAGAGTCTCCCTCTATCTCAATTTGGTGTAAACCCAATTGTTTGGCACATCTTACACCTTGAAGCAAGGCCATCCATAAATGTCCTCGGCTGAGAAGTCTTTAAACAAATCCAAAGTTTTCAAGCATTGGATAGTCATAATGGTTATTCTTTCTACAATTTCCTCCTTGGATTTCACCACTGCTTTAAAAATCCTATTGTTTCTTTCTTCCCAGACTAACCATAGGATAGCTGCTCTAGTGGCTCTCCACATTAATCTTCCACGTCTCTTCGGTTGCCTGAAAAAGCTTGGGTCAAAAAGGCTTACCATTGTCCAGGGGAGGTATCCACCTGCAATCAAAGGTAGAAGAAAACTAGGTCCAAATAAAGCACACAAATGGACAAAAATGCCTAAAAAAGCTTGTGGCTCTCCACAGATTCAGTTATACTAATAACCTTTTTTCCATGCCAAACATTCTCAATCAACTGCTTCATGGTCAAGCATGACCATCACCAACATAGACCCTCCTACAATTCTACTTCCAGTTTTCTTCCCTGATTGGTTGCACTTAACCCATCAACTCAAAGGATCAGCTTTTTCAGCAATAAGCTTAACCTTCTTTGTACATTAAAGAACCTCCCAGTCACAGAGACTTCATGCTCCTCATCCAACAAAGATTTCCTGTCTAACATATTTTTCCGTGAAAGCCCAAAACATCAATCCCAATTCTACAGTCTAAGCTAAACTACACTGCACGAACCTCTCATGAAAAATGTTATGGGCTAACAGTTTCTGCAAGTTAATATGGACTGAATTTTGTGAACATTCATACATACTTCACCATGTGTATACATAAAAAGTGCTATGTAAAGGATATTCCTACTACCAATTGTGGGAGGGTGAGGCTTAGTGCCAGGAAGGTCTGTCTAGAGGACAGATAGTTGGCCTGTGGCGTCAGGGAAGACTTTTTGGTATGGAGCAAGGCTCTCAAGGGGTTACTAGGGTTTCTCCTCGAACAACCAGGTGTCCCCTCTTCATATGGGGCTCTCTATATATAGGCTCTTGTTCTGTGGATATTATCAGATCTTCCATCATTGAGAAGTTCCCTCTTATGTGACATGACTAACATTCATCCCTAGAAGTTTGGGATCATGTTGATCGGTTGCCCCTTTTAGGCTAGTCAAGGATTCATCATGTGGCTTTTTAAGACTGCAGTACCCAGGTTCTCCTTTTTCCCACCATATGTCCTTGAGCACGCTAGCTACAGTGCCCTTCCTTATGTTCATGTTTAGTGTTTACGTGCCATAGCATCCTGCGATGTGTTGCGCTACAATGGCTGTTTGATCCAGTGCAGGTCAGTGCTTCTCTTAATTATGGTTTGGAGTGGGTCCCACTTGGTTCTAAGATTTAATCACCCTATCATGTAGTGGACAATGGACACCTTCGAATTCCATGTTCCTACACCAACAATGTTGCACAGTTGATCACAGTGGCTTTTCAACAAAAAGCATGTTTATTAAATTCAATCTATTGGTTCCACAATGTAACCAAAAGTAAATAGATATATAGAAAAGAAACATTCTTCCTCTAAACCAAGTAAATATCAATACTGTTTGCCATTTTCYGCAAGAAATATTGTGAATAAAAACAAAGTTGTAGATGAAATGATTACCAGTTGCCCTAAAAAGCCTTGGCTGCCCATATATAGTAGTGAATACAAATGTTTGGTTTGTCCCCTGGGAAAAATGTTATGAAAGAATTCAAGGTCAGCATGCCAAGGAATTACATATAGAACAGGAATTCCATACATGTATGCAATCAAAATGTCAACTTCACAAAGAGAGAATTGAGATGACTCACTTGATATTTTCTTTTAGCAGTTGGTGTTAAAGGGCATTGTAGAAGCCCACCAAATACAGCACCTTGCATATCTCCAACAATCTAGATAGTATAACATTGTTCACATTAATCCCCACCCAACAGAGCAAGCAACCTAATACTTCAACATACCATCATTAACCTCTAAAGAGTAAAGGCATTTGACAGTAGGAAGACTCATTTCTATTTTGCCATTACATAAGAGCTTTCAGTAGAATATGAACATGAACTTACCAGAAGACAAGGACCAGAAAGATCAGCACTCTTACGAAGAAGAGTACGAAGTGATATTCCATGTTTTGACGTACTGCCCTTCAGTTGAATGAAATGCACAATTACGAACTGAAAATAACGAAACATGGCCAGCGTAATTGCACGCAATAATTTCGTTAGCAATGCTTACCTATACAAGAGGGCCCATTGGCATCCTTTCACTATATTAGGAAGACATGCCTCAAGAAATTCGTAAAGGTCAGCAGTTATGAATGAAGAACTATCCATTAGATTGGGAACAGGGTCTACAGAAGCATGTGAGATAGTAGTTTCTTCATAATTATGAGAGCCATTGATGTCTCTTTCTGAGGCATGGCCTTTGTCTTCTTCACAAGCTTTTGGCATTTCTTTACTCTCGGATACAGGTCCGTATTCACCATTGCAATCCAGAGGCTTATCTTTCCGGGAAAAACTCTTGCTTCTCCATTTTGCCGCAAGTGATCTTAGTGGTTTGGCATCATACCAACGCTTGCTAGATTTGTGGCCTGGCCTGGCCTACACATTCAGAAACTTCACGTTACAACCAACTTCCAAAATCTAAAATTCACAAGCAACAAATAATAAGAAGCACAACATAAACCATGAAAGCCTAGAAGCTATCCAAACGATCATTAGGAGTTTAATTTCAGGCAAGTAGGCAGAAAAGAAACCAGAAGTGAGAAGACCATGAAGACAAATGGAACCATAGGAATATCAAATTACAGTGTGAGAATCTACCTCTGAACAAAAACTTCTAAAAAACACTTCTATATTAACAACAGCGAAGTAGACAAATTAAGATCTCAAGATGCCCAAAAATGTACAAACAGCAGGTAGAAGGAAACAATAAAATTAAAATTCAATACCTACAACCAAGCCATAATCGTTTACTTGGGCAGTCATAGAAGATTATAGAAGCCAACAAAGAACTTCCAAATAACTGGCAAATCATTTAAATAGAATACCACAAATGCAAAAGCTCCATCAACTAAAAAAAGCACCGCAGCGAAGAACAAACAGATATCCGGAAACGAAGAACAGATCAGAAAACACAACACAAGTTTTCCAATTTAGTTTGATTATCAACAACATGCTCAACCAGATAAATAGAGAACTTTAATAAAACAGATCAAAATCATCTGGGATTTGCAAGTCAAACAAATCTTGTTTCGTTACCTGAGGTCCGGCTTGAACAACAGGAGAATCACTAGTGGAATGAGACGATGAAGACGGAGATTTGGCGAAAAGAAAAGAGAGCTTGTCTGCAACTTTTCCTTTCAATGAATGCATGACGTGCTGGGGTGCCGTTAATGGCGGAATTCAGGGATTGTAGACCCTAACCAGTGATTCCTCGGAATTATAGAATCTCATCTAAGCGGCGCTATGATTGCCATGAATTTATAATTTGCAACTTTTAGCTTAGTTTAATTTAATTCAATAATCTTTTTTGTGCGAAGAGAGAGAGAAGAGTCGGTGGACGATGATGATGAGACGAACCGCAACAAAGGAAGAAGAAAGGTAGGTGATTAATGTTTGGTCGTTGGTGTGAATGTTTTGTTTTTCTCCTACGCAAGAAACAGAGGAAGGAATGGACCTTTCTTTCCATCCGCTTTCCTGCGTCTTGTCTCTTTCGACTCTCGAGTCCGTTTCTGCTGTTCTCCACTTCCCAACCTTGACACGTGGCAAGTTCTTCCTACAAAACCCATCCCTACTGAGGATCTTGTGAAGGTACCGGATCTCCTACTATTAGTAGAGTAATGATGTACCGGCACGGCCAATGCGGGTTGGAGGTAGAGCCCAGCACAAGCCCAGGCCCGTGGCCCGGACTGATCATTTCATTTGCTTTTTTTTTCTGTTTTCATACTGACCTGTTCATGGGCCGGGTAGTTCGATGGCCCAGCCCGCACCCCAATCGGGCTTGGTCATGTAATTAGGCCCACGGGCTTGACCTCGGGCCTAACACAGCAAGTCCGACTGTGTTTCRGGCCAGGCTCGGGATTTGTCAAAAAAGCCCAGCCCAAGTGTGACTCGACCTGACTCAGCATTATATATTTTATAAAATATATAATATGTATTTTATATATTATATAAAATATATAAATAATATAATATTTATTTAAATATATATTTATAATTTAATATATACATTTTTTATTCTTTTCTTTATAATCTCTCTCTCTCTCTCTCTCTCTCTCTCTCTCTCTCTCTCTATATATATATATATATATATTCAGCCGCTTCAGTAGTAGTAATAGTGGGCTAAATTTCGGGCTCGGGCCCAGGCCCGGGCTTCGGGCTTTTTATTCGGGCCGGGCTCGGGCCTTAGAAAAATCTGTTAATACAAAGTGAAAACCCAACCCGGCCCGGCCCATGAACAGGTATATTGTAGACTTCAGTACAAAAAAAATAAAAACTCACTAAAAGTATAGGTGTATCGGCACGGCCCACGTTTTTGTGCCAGCACGGCCCATGTAGATTGGGGGTATGGCCTAGCATAAGCCAAGGCCCGTGGCCCGTAGCGAGCCTTGGGCCAAACTCATCCATATTATTTCATTTTCTTTTTTTCTGTTTTCAGTACAAAAAATAAAAACTCAAAAGCAAAAAATAATGAACAATTACAAATTCAATGATTACAACAACAATTTGAAGAAAAAAAATCATTGTAAAATTTTATTCGATATGAATAATCAATTTATACAATAAAATATAAAATGATTAAATAAAATTGAAAAAAAATAGGAGGAAATTAAAATGCTATAAATAGAAAATAAAAATTTACAATGGAATTGAAAAAATTTACAAATAACTTACAAGGTACAAATAAAATTGATAAAAATCTCAACAAAAAAATTCTTCAAGTCCCACCAAGTAGTAATATATCGGGTGATGTGTCATGCCCTTTATCCTACAGTCTATCTTCAGCATGCAACCAATCTTTTTGGCTAAATGCACATCTTCAATGTTTTATCTATCATCTGGCTCCTTCTCTCATCTAGAACTCTATTTCATGTATAAAACAAGATTCTAATGCTATTGTAGACTAAGGTGGCATTTGATAAATCTGAAAATTCAGATCTAAAAAGTTAAAAAGATATTAAAAATGTCTGAAATCTGAAAATAGACATATATGCTTTTTTACTTTTTAGAGGATATGAATCCATAAGTTTGTTTGTGTTGGACCAACCCTTTACCATCTGAAATTTACTGATTTTACTATTTTACCCTTAGAACAAACTATTTGTAAATGTTGAGTTCAATTTGCGTTATCTCATAAAAAATAATTTTCAGCCTCAAAATAATATTGAAATAATACAAATAAAAATAATAAATTATTAATTATTAATTAATAAATGAAATGATTAAAATTAAAAAAATAATTAATGACTATAAAAATATTAAAATAATTAATAATTAGTAATTATTAATTTACACAAATAAAAATTAAAATAATTTTTAAAAATTAATGAAATAATTAAAAATTACTAGTTAATAAAAATAAGTAATAATTAACACAAGTAAATTTAATAAAAATAATTAATGTTTAATAAAAACTATTAAAATAATTAATAATTAATAAAAATAATTTATAATTAAATACTTTTACTCACTAAACCACCGTTGTTGCATGTTGCAGCGGCAGTGGCGGTGGTGAAAACACAAGGGAGGGAGGGAGGGAGAGAGAGAGAGATAGAGAGAAAGCGAGAGAGAGCAAGAAATAGAGAGAGAGCGAGAGCGAGAGAGAGAAGACAGGGGAGAGAGAGAGCCGCCGTTGCAACTTGCAGCGGCGGTGGCGGTGGTGGGAACACAAGGAAGGGAGAGAGAGAGAGAGAGGGGCGTTCTTCCTCCCTAAGCGAGAGCGAGAGATGCATTCTTCCTCCCTGTGAAATGATTAGGTTTTTTAGATTTGGGGGTAATCAAGGGTAGCGCATGTCATTTCTAAAAACATAGAAGGGTAGAGTCGACCTTGCACCGACTCTAAAATGCGTCTGAGCACGTTAAGAGCCGACCCAATGTCTATTATTGTCATATCTGAATATAAGATTCAGACCATGTTTAAGAGGTAAAACCAAACAAGGGGTGAGGTCTAAAAAGCAGCATTTTCAGATTCAGACCTCTAAAAAGTGCAATCAAATGCTACCTAAGGCTACAACTTGGGCCAAGTTAGCCCGAACCCAACCTGAAAAAGTTGGGTTGGGTTGAGTTGGATTGATGCTTGGGTTAGGGTTAGGGTTGAAATTCATGAACCCAACTTTACTTTGGGTTGGGTTAGGGTTGAATCATCGAGCAACCCAACCCAATCTGAACCCGACTCTATATTACATGTCATATATAAATCTATGTTATAATTTGATACACCATACATTGATTTGTTTAGATGCATGATAGCTGTATAACCCCCACCACATACTATCATGTCTTTCTTTAAAATAATCACTTCACCTAATCCTAATCTGAAAGACAAGAACCCTAATGACATATTTTATTCTTCATCCTCTCTCTCTCTCTTGTTTGTCACTCATATCTTGATGTCCATAAAATATTTATCATAAGTCATAAGTCATAATAAATTAGTCATTTCAAACACTTATTTGTTTTGAATTTTGTACTAAAAGAACCAATAAATATATCAACAAACAAATGCTAATAAAACATAGGATTAATATATGTAGTGAAAGTTGAGTTAAGATTTGAGATTAAGAAATTCTATGAGATTTTAAGGGATGGGAAAAAGGTTGGGTTGGGTCTAACTCAAGGTAGCCCAACTTCGAGTTGGGTTGGGTTAGGGATAGGTTTAGGTAGGTTGAGTTGATGGTGGGGTTACGTTAGGGTTAGGATTGGGGGTTCAAAACTTAGGGTCAGGCTAGGGTTAGGCCCAACCCAACTTAACCTGGCCTAACTTGCCCTATTACAAACACCAAAAGAGTTAGTAAATCATGTGCCATAGCAACAAGCATAGGATAATTATTTTTATGTGCTTTCCACAAGCTAAAATATCAAAATTTCTTATGTTGGACAGTTTGCAAATGTCTTTTCAAATGGCCAATGCCAACACTACTTTGATAGCAAAATTCATCTTTAGATTTATTATAAATTGCACTCATGCCCTTTTCCGCTACATCCTCGACAGTAAAATAATTCCAAACATCATTGATTTTTTTTTCTTAGTACCTTAAAATTAGTAGGATTAGATTGGGTTTGAAAGGTCATCTAAGAGGAACCGACCATTTTAATAAATATTAAAATCTAAAATAAAAAAATTGTACTTCCGATCCTCAGAGTCCAATCTGTCAGTTCGGTATTTCAACTTGAATGCAAAGCTTTTAAGTCTCCCAAATTGCCAACTTCAACTTGAGACACTTGATCAAGCCTCATTCTTATTGAAATTAAAAAAGTAAGAGAGAGAGAGAGAGAGGTTATGAGAGTATAGCAGTATTAGAGATTGATAGTATGAGAGTATGAGAATAAGAGATTGTATTTGATTGTTGTTGTGATGAAAATGGGTGAGAGTTAGGTGTTTATAAAGGTTAGAAATAACTGAATTTATCAAAATATCCTCCTAAATTAGTTGTTTATAGTTGTTGAGGGGGGTATTTTGGTCATTTACAATGTTTATTTATCACTTTACTTGAAATTCCCTCTTATAAACTAGTTGTTAATAGCTATTAAGGGGCATTTTAGTCATTTTATTGCATCCCATTTGGTACAATACATAAATACCCCCCAAAAATAGTTGTTCRTAGTTGTTGGGGGTATTTTTGCCATTATGCCCCCTTATAACTATAGGAGTCCACACAGGCCATGGGCCAGCACGACCCATGGCCAAAATCCCTTGACAAGCTCGGCCCCAAGGGTCACACCTCTAAAGTAGAGGTGTAATGTGGGTCATGCCATGCCAACACAGTACGATTTTGTAGGTCTTCCACACTTTGGCAGGGCGTGTCATGTGGCATGTGGGACTGGGTGGCTCATGCTTGCCTGGCCCAGAACCCTTCAAAGGTCATGCTCGAAACAAGCCTAGGCAGGTCTATACCATGCTAGGTTGAGCCATAGGCTTGGACCAAGTTGAGCTAGGTCCTTTTTCTGTTTGTCTTGTTATTTTTCCATTTTTACTAAGTAAAAAATGATAAAAATTTAGAGAAAAATAAAACTTGAACAAAAAAACACTTAACAAAATGCAAAATAGATAACAAGTTCAAAAGAAAATTGCAAAAAAATTATTTTATTTGAATTTAATGAAGACAAAGTAAAAAAATGAAAAAAAATATAATAGAATTGGAATAGATTAAAAGATTAATATAATAAAATTTTACAGTTGTATTGACTATTAAAAAGTCACAAATAACTTTTACATAAAATTAAAAATAAAATTTACAATAATTTTGAAAACATTGTACAACTATTGAGTATACAAAAAAAATATTATTGACTTCATTATTTTCTTCAAGTTCCACCCCCTCCATCTCCTTAATCTTGATTTAGATCATATGCTTTTGGTGAAATATCGAGTGAAGTGTCATGCCCTCCTCAATTTTGC